TTTCATCCATAGATCTCAAAATGCATTGCAGAGGACATCAGTATCATTATCCCCATTTTGCTGCTGGGGAAACCGAGGCACAGAAGAGCAGGTAATGGTGTTACCGTGTAACCTTGACTAAAATTTCATCTGCCTCGCCACTGGTGGCTAATTTACCATGCATCAGTCTCCACCCCAGAGGTGGCTGCATTCAATAGAGCTGCATGTATATCGTAGTACGTGAAGGGCTTTGGGATTATTTGTTATGATTTGCATTATAGTAGCAGCTAAAGTCTAAGAGCAGAGACTGGGGCCCCACTGTGCTAGGCGCTGTACCTACCTACCATGGTGAGAGACCGTCTCTGCCTCAAAAAGCTTGCGATCTAAATAGACAACACAGTACAAAAGCGGGAGACAGGAAGTATTATCCACATTTTCCACACGGGAAACTGACGCACAGATTGAGAGACATGCCTAAAGTCACAGATTAAGTCTGTGTAATCATTGCACTTTAGTATCCGAGGGGTAGCTGTGTTAGTCTGGATCTGTAAAAGCAGCAAAGAGTCCTGTGGCACCTTATAGACTAACAGACGTATTGGAGCATAAGCTTTCGTGGGTGAATACCCACTTTGTCGGATGCACCGACGAAGTGGGTATTCACCCATGAAAGCTCATGCTCCAATACGTCTGTTAGTCTATAAGGTGCCACAGGACTCTTCATTACACTTTATTCGCTCAGAAGTAAATATTCCAGTTTGAAATGTCATGGAAGCTTTGAAATAAATAATGTAAGAAATTATTAGGACTCTAAACACAAACCCCACACACGCTCTTCTTATTATTCGCATGACAGTTGCGTTTAGAGACCTAAATCAAATTCAGGGCCCCCTCATGCTAGAGACAGTCCCTGCCCCAAAGACAGGACAGACAGAAAGTGAAAGAAAAATAGCAGCATTATCTCCATTTTACAGATGGGGAACTGAAGTACAAAGAGACTGAGTGACATACCCAGGGTCAGACAGGAAGTTTGTGGCATAGCCAGGAATTGAACTCAGGACTCTAGCGCCCCAGGAGCCTTTTACAAAAGGCTATTATTGGAAGGGATGAAAGGGGTAGAAATCAGGTGCTCCAAGATGGTTCTATGAAGCCATGCAGCCCAACAAACACTGAATGCACCTCGTACACGATGGACTGACCTGTCAAGTGTGCGCTTGCGTCACCTGAAACCACTCCACATTTCAAAGCCCACAGCAGGGTAATCTCAATAAATCAATTTTTGGCATAGTTTAGAAATTGTCTTCCATTTTTCCAGCCATTTCTTTGTTTTTGTTTTAAGATGAACACAGGGAAAGGCTGGAGAAACAGCTGTTTAGAACAGGGGTGGTTTGTTGCTCAATTCTTTTCCACAGCAGTTCTCTCGCAACACCACCTGCTATCCCAGTGGCACGGATTAATCAAATCAACAGTGTTAAGGTGCTGGCAGAAGGCAAACTTGTAATCTCCCATATACTGGGCTCCGCTGTTTCACTGGCTAAATTTGCCCACTGCATTCATTCATCTCCATGCAGGCTATACAGTGTGTGTGTGTGTTAAGCTGATGTTGCACCTGCTAACTGAAGCCTCAGAACACGAGAGTTGCTAATGAAACATGACTCCAACGTAGCCACACTGGTCCAGCAACTCCACAATCACCACACTCATTCATGTTTTTGACACGCAACTCCAGTAGGTATTCAGGTACTCTGCAAACACAGACTTCAACAGGTACGGGCTTCTAGTAACAATGGATTGATTATGCCTGGCGTCACCCATCCCCATGGGAGCAATAATCCCAACAGGTAGCCAGCATCTAGACCTCCGTCTGGCAACCACTTAAGCAGGTGTGTAACTTTATTCACAGCAACATTCCCATAAACTTCAATGGAAATACTCTCATGAATAAAGCTACACACATGCAGGATCGGGGCCCAAGAGAGCAGGCAAAAGTTCCAAATAAAGCAAGTGCAACATGTTTCACGCCTCTGACAAAAACGTAACACAGCAGATTTGATCTGCTTTGTTCGTCCTTCCCCCCCTTCCCCTGCAGACTGTAATCAAGATGCCACATGAAACAGCACAAAGACAGCAGAAACTTGATTTTCGCACTCGGTCAGGTTAGCATTAAAACAAAGACGTCTCCCCCCCTCCTCCGCGAAATCTCTCATTAACGCAGATCTAGGACCTCTTCCCAAAGAGGAGGCGGAGATGCACTTTGTTTTTATTTTAACATCAGGAGCATAGCACATGTGCTATCATGAAATGCAGACCAGACTCAAAGACTGGATTCCAGCAAGCGCGTTGCCTGCAAAACAAGGGGACAAATGGACACGGGGTTGCACGCCATGTGGCCATGGTGACATAAGATCCCAGGGAAAAGGAATTGTGAATGTTAAAAGTTTCAGGGCTTGTTAAATGTTAATAGGATGCAATGATTATCCGCATGCATAGAAACAGGAACATTGATTTAATTACGAAATAGTTACATCTCTAATTATAATCATATATTTGAGGGCAACAAAATGTAATCCCAACCAAGTGAATTGCAGCCAGGCATCACCACAAGCAACCAACGAGAGGAAGTACATCTACAAACAAGAGGAAGTACTTTTTCACACACCGCACAGCTAACCTGTGGCACTCATTGCCATGGGATGGTGTGATGGCCCAAAGTACAACTGGGTTCTAAAGAGAACTGGACAAGTTCATGGAGCACAGGGATGCAAGCCCATGCTTGGGGTCACTTGGGGTGACCACTCCAAATGTCCCTGATCTGTACACTCCCCCCGAAGCACGAATACAGGCCACAGAGACAGGAAACTGGGCAAGACAGACCATGGTCTGACCAGTTGTTCTGTTCTTATGTGGCAATGTTTCATGGGGGAGGTATCATGCTCTCCCAGCAAGAAGAGGTACCTAGTCCTTCTGCTCATTAACCCTGAAAGCTGGTATTTCAATACGGGCCCAATCCTACACAGTGCTGAGTGCCCTCAACTCCCATTGACTTCAAGGGAAATGTATTTATCGTTATGCAAAAACTATATTCCCGCACTTGCCATGTTTGTTGATCATAACCATGCACTGGAAGTTTGAAACCAAGATCTCTTTCCATTGTACAATGCACATGGGTTTGTCACTGTGGGGCTGGAATATCTAACAAATCCCACGGCACCTCAAGAGCTACGCATCAAAGGGCGAGTACATACAGAAGTAGGGTCTGACCCAGGAAGGTGCTGAGGACCTTCTAAAGTCAGTGAGAATTGAGGGCACGTACATTTGGCAGGACTGGGCCCCTAATGAAATGCAAACTTTAAATCCGTCTCAGCAGTGTGCAGAAGCTCATGCTAGGTACCTCCTCTCCTGCCAGAGACTTCATCCTACCAGAATAGTAACCCTCAGAAGCACCTGGATATTTTTGGGGGGTGGGGGAAGGAAGAAGGGAGAGGGAGAGGGGGGAGGTCACCTGCAGAGCAATGCACTAGCACAGATTTTTCCAAACTCATATGAGCAAAATAGGTAGATCAGTTTGCAGGGACCCCAATGACCATCATAACTAGTTTTTTATACTTTCCCCTGAGAAAATATCACCATTTTTTAGGATTTAGCTCAACAATGACTCCCAGCAAATTAACCAAGTAATTCATTGGAGTAAACTGCACGTCCCCGTCGCATGATAAACTATGTCTGTTGTTAGACTGACACCTCCAGGTCCAAAACTAATTAGAGCAAGTCTGGCGTCCAGGCGCTAGCACTAGGTGCTAGCAGTCTGAAAGTTAACGAACTCCCTCTCAGCCACCAGGGGGCTGTTGAAAATGAGAATCACTTAGATTCTGTTCGAGTGGTCAAATGTCTGAAGCCCATGCCAGGAATCCCCCATAACCATTTCTTTGCATTGTCACTGACAGCCTCTGCATGTCACACACCTTCCATCCCAGGGTTTCAAAGGGCTACATTAATACTAGCAACTTAGGCCTCTGACATCCTCTTGGGAAGCAGGAAAGTATTCTTACCCCCATTTTACAGATGGGGAAAAACAGGGACGGTCACCCAGCAAGTCAGCTGCAAAATCAGGAGAGAAACAAAGTCTCCTGATTCCCAGTCCTGTGGCTTAATCCCCTGACCACTGTCCTACTATACGTGCAAAGATACTGTAAGAGACAGTCCTTGCTTGCCCTGAGGATCTCACACTCAAAGCAGACAAGACAGACACAGTAAGGATTATTATCCCCATTTTACAGATGGGGAACTGAGACAAAGAGAAATTAAGTGACTTGCTCTGGGTCACAGAGAGGGTCAGTAGTAGAGCCAAGGATTGAACCCAGAGCTGCTGTACCTCAGTCCATCACCTTATCCTCAAAGACACCTTCATCCTCTCTTGTAAATGCATAAAAGCTAACACAAAAGCTAGCAGCCAAAGTGCAGGGAGGCGCTGATATGCAAAAGACCTCAGCTATTCCACCACTGGGCCTCTCTGGGACGGTGATTGCTAATGGTGTGCAAGAGCTTTGCTCTGCGGCCAGATATTTAAACATGTTTTTAAACCAGAACTCAAAACCAAGGCAAGGCCTCTCCAAGAGCCTAGACGGATGGAGCAATGAAAGGGAATTGCATTAAAATAGGATAGCTGTCGCTGTCCAGAGTGGGAGGGGAGAATAAGCCACACGACACAGTGCTGGTCATGGCAGAAAACGACAATGCCGAAAAACAGCTGTGCTGCAGAACTCGTTCAATAACGAAGGGCTACAGTTTTGCCCACTGAGAGCGTCTCTCTTATTTTCCATTGATTCCTGGGTGCAGGCCCCCTGGGAGTCACAGAGCATCTCCACCTTTTCTAGTACATGCACCATGAGAAATAATCAGAGCCCACAAAGATAGACCTGAAGACAGCTGGAAAATCACGCAGCCACACAAGGGACCAAACCGGGCCTGAGCAAATGCAGCTCCCACTGAAGTCAACAGGGTTAATTTCAGGACATCTCACTTACTTGATTTGCTCCCAAATCTTGGTGGCCAAATGCAGGACCCAGAGATCCTTGTAGTGGTAAAACTGCTCTCCATCAGGAGAAGCAAACTCTCCACCGAATACCCATAGCTGTCCACCACCCTGGGGCACCACTGCAACCTGCCAGGGGAGAGAGAAAGAACGTGTCAGATAGCCTTTAAAAAGTCAGGGGCTCAGGAATTTAGTCAGTCAAACATGCAGCTGCTCCTGGAATATAACAGACAAATAGCACCAACTGTTGCGGCATTGCTTGGCTACGGTAGCTCAAGGGATGGAAGGACGAGAAATCTGGAGATTAAATTCAAAATTGCTTATTGTCTGCGGTGGATTTCTGGTGCACCCTTCACTGCAGCATCATGCTGCCAGATCTGTTAATCTGGCTCACACTGGGAAAATTCATTGGGATTTATCTTTCAAAAGAAATGTTTAAAGTCTCTCCCACCAGCAAGAGGGGAAGCTCTCTAGAAGACTATCATGCCAAAGACTGGGGTCTGGCAGCAACTCTCCGATTGTTCAGCTGTAGCCATGCATCCCATAGACAACACACTGGCTGTCTGGGGAAGACACAGTGGCATACTGAAAGGGGGAAGTTCCTGCCTTCTTACATGTAGATAAAGTGCCACAAAAGGACAGGCAACCTCATGAGAGGAACAACCATGACAGGAAAGATGGTTCAGCGGCCTAAGAATCAGCCTATGACTTGGGAGATCCAGGCTCAATTCCTTGTTCTCGGGCTCCCAAGATTTGGGCATGAGCCTAATTTATAGTCGCAGAGAGACAACGCATATGAAAATCATGGATTTGCTGGAAAGTATGTTGTAATGTAGATACCTAACTGGCTATCTGCTTGTGCAAACACAGGATTACCATGGGGATCTGATATTTGCAAACAGAAGTTGGGCAAGTACAAAAGCATGTATGTCATTGTGCGCACCACGTTGAAGATATGGCTCCAAATCAATTCCAAAGCCAAGATCCCAGCTTCACAAATACTTGGTAGCACTTGTTTGTGGCCGTTCTCACCCAAAGCCTATCGACTGTAAGGTGGAACAGCAGGATGTCATGCCAAGGGGAGATTCTGTGTCAGAGGCTAAAGCTAACAAACCAGGCTGCAGATATGCACAGACGATCCAGAGACGCATTTCTGTTTACTCTAACTGCTAGCTAATGAGGGACATGCTTTACAAACAAAGTTGCAGTGAAGGCAAGAGACTAGTCAGTTAACTTTGCTGAATTTTCTCCCTGTAACAGTAATTAAATATCAAACAGAAAATACACCGCAAAGCGCTCCAGGTAAAATTAAAACAAAAAAATGACATGAACAGTTAGTTGTCTGTTGCAATTCCCTGGTAGGCAGCCTGGTAGTAAGATTTAATTATTAGAGTGCCACCTGCTGGACACTATCACTTCAAACAGCCAGGATTAGCAGTGCTTGTATTAGCAAAAAGGATCTCCTTTTAACAAAAGAAAACCGTAACTTCTGGCAATTTAATGCATTCGTTCTATGACATCATATTC